ATAAGGATGGGCTCCACTGCTCAGGTACCTCAATTTGGTTAGAACTGGCTAGAACTGGCCCAAAGTTTTTCTAACCCTAAGGACAAATCATAACTGAAAATTGACTACTAATTACTTACATTGTGAAATGGCTGTGGGAGGTACTGAAGAGAAGATTCGAAGACTCATGGATATCTCCTAGGATGTGACAAGAGCAAGATCAGTTATAACACATTTTTCTTCTCCTCTTCTCTTCTCTTTTCTTCTCATCTCTTCTCCTCTCTTCTCTCCTTCCTTCCTTCCTTCCTTTCTTTCTTCTCTTTCTTCCTTTCATCCATTTCTTCCTTCCTCTCTTCCTCCTTCCCTCCCTCCCTTCCTCTCTCCCTCCTTCCCTCCTCTCTCTCTCTCTTTTTCTTTCTTTCTTTCTTTCTTTCTCCCCTTTCTTTCTTTCTCCCTTTGTTTCTTTCTCTTTCCTCTCTGCTGGCTCTGGGACTTGAACTCAGGGCTTGGGAGCGGTCCCTGAGCTTGCTTTTTGCTCAAGGCTAGTTCTTTACCATATGAGCCACAGCTCTACTTCCAGCTATTCTCTGTTTAATTGGAGATAATAGTCTCACAGACTTTCCTGTTCAGGCTGACTTTGAATCTTGGTTCTCAGCCTCCTCTGAGTAGCTAGGGTTACAAGCATGAGCCACTAGCACCCAGCCAGTATTTTTTGTTATACCTAACCTGTCTTCTTGGCGGGGAAAGGTGTGGTCACAGTAAATCCAGATGAGACCTCAGTGGATACAGATGAGACCTCTTCCAGGTGTGCCAGTTGTCTGGGCAATGCAGGTACTGGGTGGAGACTTGGCTGTGAGGAGGGTGGAGTCTGCTTGTCATCCAGGAAAGGACCTTACAATATGACCTGCTAACATCATAGTAACTTGTGTAAGTACATTACATGCAGACAACAAATAAACCACCTAGAGATACACTTCTTGGAATGTACCCCAGGTATTTAGAGATGCATGGCTATATATTGTCAACTTCTAGGAACTTTACTTTTTTTCATCTATAAATAGGAGAATTTTAAAAGTAGGTGATTAATTGTTAAAATTAAGTGATGATATATACCAAGAGTGCAAAATACAATCAGGATTGAAGAAGTGGTATTAGTAGCTACACTTAGTGCTGTATTAACACCTCTGCCTCCTTTTTATCAAAATTATTGTCTATAAGTAGTTGTACAAAGTAGTTGCCATTTACCAAAGCAGTTTATGAATACAATATATTTTGATCAATGTCACTTCTTTCAACATTTTCAACCATTCCTTTCCATTGTATCCTTCTTGCCCAGCCTTGAAGCCATTTTCATTTCCTATGTATGCTCATAAAACCAAGTATCAAATTCTGCTGTTTTTCCTTTCTGTTTCTTCTGCCATCTTCCTGATTCATTTGCATCTTCTGAAATGATTTGGGCAAACATGTAACTGTTGTTCATTGGTGTTACTGAGATCTGCTCTTCTGCTCCTCTGGTTAGAACAAATGGATAGCTGACTGCCATGTCCACTAGAGAAAGTGTAAATGCTTTGGTGTCTGCCTGGCCATACTTCTCTTTGACTACTTTCATCATTTCCTTTCATCGACCCTGTAGACCCATTTTGTTCTTTAGGCTTATTCAAAGCTGACTTCTCTTATATGAGGTTGACCCATTGTCTCGTCCTTTATCCAATAGATATTTTATCACTTCTGTAATATTTCTTTTTTCTTTCTTTTCTTTTTTCCCTTCCTTCCTTCCTACCTTCCTTCCTTCCTTCCTTCCTTCCTTCCTTCCTTCCTCTCTCTCTCTCTCTGTCTGTCTCTTTCTTTCTTTCTTTTCTTTCTTCCTTCCTTCTTTCTTTCTTTGTCATGTGGTTTGAACTCTGGGCCTAGTGACTACCTCTCAGCTCTTCAGCTCAAGGCTAGCTCTCTACCACTTGAGCCACAGAGCCACTTCCAGTTTTCTGGTGGTTTATTGGAGATAAGAGTCTCACAGACTTTCCTGTCTGAGCTGGCTTTGAACCATGATCCTCGGATCTCAGCCTCCTGAGTACCTAGGATTACAGGCATGAGCCACCAGCGCCCAGCTTTGTAATATCTTTTTTATATCCAAATATGTGGGCTACATATGGTAAAAGTGTAACAATTTAGACCACATAGTTGTATGACTAACTTGAAAAAGCAACTTGAATAGCTATTCTAACTCTCTCTCTCTCTCTCTCTCTCTCTCTCTCTCTCTCTCTCTCTCTATATATATATATATATATATGTCCTTCTTAATGTGTGCATTGTTAATTTTCTTATTAAAATATTCCTAGAGGACAACGTTCTCTGGTCCCTCTTACACTTATAATTTATTGTACACAAACTGATTTCTTATAGGCTTGAATTAACTTTGTTTCATGCTTTTAAGATGTAAAGGATATGCTAATTTGCATTGGCTGTGATTGATATATGATTTGAGCATATAGTTTTGTGCTCAGCTTTTGATTTGTATTAATTAAAACAACAGTTTACAAGTCTGGGTACGTATGTGAATGAAATGATTGTTAAGTAACATAACACTATAATTACAATTAATACCCTTATTGCATGCCCTCAGACCAACAAGTGCCAAGTAGCTTGTTAAGAATTGCTTTGAAATGCTTTCCTAAGGGCCCCCTATCTTGCCAAACTTTTGCATAATGATTGATGAGAAGAAGAACATTTTATTTGAGGCTTTCAAAGTTCCTGGCAAAGCTGCTTTCCATTCTGCAGATTGGCCATACTGAGGTTTTCAATGGCTCATTGCATTTCCTTGGGCTATGCAACCACTCAGGAAGAACTATCTACCCTATGGAATTTTTTATATTCCAAAATAGTCAGGGATCTTCCTAAGTGACTGCTATGCTATTTTATGGTATGGTCATTGTGTGCGTATGCTCCATCTGATTTTCCCTGTTGCCTTAGCTAATGAAAAGATGGAGGCAAATTTGTGGTTCTCATGGAGCTTAGAATGGGGCCTTGCATTGGGGTTTCTGACTGGCTTTTTGCCTGATTCCATTTTATTTATTTACTTAATTCTTCCTTTTTATTTTTATCTGAGTTATCTTGTTTGAAGACCTGTGCTTCAGACTAGTCATTAATACATCATAACCAACTTTCTCACCCTTCCCACATTTCTGTTAGATTCCAGGCCAACTCTTGTCGGCTGGAACACTAGGCCTTTGGAGGGAGCCACACTTGGCTTTGAATTTCAGCTTTGACACTTAGGAACTGTGGACTTTGGACAAGTTTCTGAGTTCCCCCTCTGTAAATTGAGAATAATAATCTGTAATTCACATAGATGTCTTGGGGATTAAATAAAATAACTTATGTAAATTACTTTGTGCATAGTAGGCATTCAATAAATGTCAGTTCACTTCTTTTCCCAGTTAATAATGCTTATTAAACTATATTAAAAACTGGAACCAGACTGTGATAATGCATTTCTTTATTAAGCATTTAAGCCAAATAACTAATTTCCCCCAGGGGAAGGAGAAATGTTGAACTACTTTCATTTGGTGAACTTATTTAGTAATCTCTTTTTCTTCGGCTTTATTCAGTTTCCTTGTGCATATTAAGTATTCCTGCTGCAGAAATGACACCATTTGGTATTCTTTTTAACTTCACTCTGGTAGAGCTGGGCTTTATACTTTGTCATAGAATCTGCCATTTATTAGAGATCATTGCTAATTATATTAACAGCTCGATTCTGTTTCCCAACCACTTCTGGCTGACAAACTTTCTGCTCTCAACTCTTTTCCTGAGGTCTAAGGATTTAAAAGAATCAAGTTTTAAATAGCAGCGTTATGGCCAGAAGAAAACTAGGAGCGGGGCACATGGATCTACATCGTCTGTGTTCTTTCGTATTAATTTTATAGGTTCTGCACGGAAGTGGAGCCACGTTTTCCTCAAGGACGCAATTCAAGGGAGGCGAGTGGAGTGGGAGCTGCGCTGGAACCAGGGTACCACGGCACCTTTAAGGACTGGAGACTTGGAATTAGCTCAGCCTCTTTCCCAGCCCACCTCTGAACTCTGATTGACAGGGCGCTGGGTAAGGAGGAGCTCAAGGAGGCCAAGGAGGAGGGGCAGGGAGGGAAGACACAGAAGGCGGGGCCTGCTTTCCCCTAATAGCCAATCAAGTGAGGGGGCGTGGCTACAGCAGCCCTCCTTCGCCCCCAGCCCCCCACTTCCCCGCCCCCTCCCCCTCCCCTCTTCCCCCTCCTCTCTCCTCCTTCGCGTCCTCCTCCTCCTACTCCTCCTCCTCCTCCTCCTCCTCCTCTTCCTCCTCCTCCTCCTCCTTCTCCTTCTCCTCCTCCTCCTCCTCCTCCTCCTCTCAGGCTGTGGTTTTTCTGTGTATGTTTCTGGAGTCCTGAGCCTGAGCTAAACAAAAGCAGGAGGCTGACGGGGCTGTTGGAGTTTGCAGAGACACGGAGGAGCAGGAGGAGGAGGAGGAGGAGGAAGAGGAGGAGGAGGAGGAGAAGAGAGCCTGTGCTTTGCCTGTCGCTGTGGCTGAGGAGATCTGGCTTTTGCCACAGCCCACCCCCTTTGAGATCGCTCTGGCCCGGAGTGGGGGTGGGGGGCAGCGGGGGGTGGGGGGGAAAGTTTGCCTTGCAATCCCCCAGCCTTCCTCTCCTTTCTCCCGATCAATGCATATTTGCAAAAGGATTAAGCCACAGATTTAAGCGCCGGGAGCCCATTTCTGCCTTGCAAAGGAGATCGGACTGAAAAAACCAAAAGCCAGCTCTGATTTCTTCTTCTTTTTTTTTTTTTCCGCCAAGTGGGAAGGTGGTTTATTTATTTATTTTTCCTTGCTTTTTTTTTTTTTTTTGGAGTCAACACCCTTCCCCACCGGCCCTTATCCCCACCCTCACCCCTTCACACCCCCTCCCCCTCCCCGCTCCCCTCCTCCCACCTTCCTCTAAAAGAGGCAAAGGGATTTTTTTTTTCTTTTGGTCTTCTTCTTGTTCTTCTTGTTTTTTTTTTTTTTTTTTCCCTCCCCTTCCCTGTTTATCCTGAAAAGGATTTGAAGACAGCTTGAAGGATAAAAAGCCTTGGTGCTTCCCGGGGGCCGAGCCGAGGAGAAGAGGAAGAGCCGGGGGCTTCCGTAGCCTTCGGAGATGGACGAGCAGCCCAGGCTGATGCATTCCCATGCTGGGGTCGGGATGGCCGGACACCCCGGCCTGTCCCAGCACTTGCAGGATGGGGCCGGAGGGACCGAGGGGGAGGGCGGGAGGAAGCAGGACATTGGAGACATTTTACAGCAAATTATGACCATCACAGACCAGAGTTTGGATGAGGCGCAGGCCAGGTGAGATGGAGGCTTTTCTTTTTTTCCTTTCTTGGGTTTTTGTTTTGTTTTGTTTTTCTCCTTCTCGCTGGGGGAAACAATGGGAACTGAATCCACCACAGCGCTTTCTTTTAAAATGTTATTTCTTCTCTCTCTCTCTCTCTCTCTCTCTCTCTCTCTCTCTGTCTCTCTCTGCCTCTCTGTCTCTCTCTCTCTCTCTGCAACTCCATGGCGAAGGAGGAGTAAAATTGAAAGGAGCGTTGTTATCGAAAGTGTAATCGACCATGCTGTGATGTGTCTGTGTACATATTGTGTGTGTGTGAGTGTGTGTGTGAGTGAGAGAGAGACAGAGAGAGAAGAGAATGTATAGAAAGGTATTCATATATACCTACCTACACAAACACTAAAGCATAGCCGAAAATACTGCCAACTGATCCAAAAGCGGCCCTCGGCACTTTTTTTTCTTCTCCTTAAAAAAAAAAGTCTTAAGAGAGCAGAATTGTCAAGTTTTGAGCACCATTCCATGCTTTCCTGTTGAAGGACTTCTTAACACTGCAAAATAAAATGTCCCAAGAACACTTTATTTGCAAATGGAGCTGACTTCTTAGCTATTTCAGGGAGTTTGATTTTCTTTCTTGACTTTACCCCTCCAAAATTATCTTTTTCTCTTTCCTCCACCTCAAATCCAAAACAAACAACAACAACAAAAAGCAGAGTGTTTTTTGTCAGTAGTTGTCAGCTCTCCAGAAAATACTTTGCATTCACTTATTTTTGTTTTATAGAGAAAGCTAATGGGAAAGAAGGAAAGATAATTTTGTTTTTAGGCGTATTGGCTTAGTTTTAGGAGACTCAGATTTTTAGCTTAACTGTATTATGTCTTAATTTGAGTTAGTTTTCTTAACAACCCGGACACAAGCAGTTAGTTCTCTCTATGGTCTTTTAAAATGGGGTGGGAGGGAGTCCCCAAAAATCAAGCAGTCTCTTTCCCCCTAGCTTCTCCAGGATAGGATATCTAGAACCAACTGTGTAAAAGTGATAGTATGTGTGAATATTATGCATTTCAATACCACAGAACATAATATGTTCATTCAAGAAACCATTATAAAGAAACTGTAGTGTCTTGACTTAACTTACTATCAGGTAAATAGCTCTTCACACTAGGATTTTACAGCAAATCCTTTTTTCAAAATATAACATAGATTTAGTGGCAACCTACTAACAGCTTGCCCAAGGCCCAACTCAAAAGGAAGAATTTTTTTTTTAAATCTAATGACAACATATGTCTACATAATTAGGCAGCTTTGTTAAATCTTTGAATAGTCTCTGAAGTTTATTGTGTGTGTGTATGTGTTTAGTCTGAGAATCTCCTAAACCTCTTCATACAAAATTACTATAGCTCAAGTGACTTAGTTCTATGAAGAAGATATTATATATATATGTGTGTGTACACACATAATTTTGTCTAAGGGAAATAGGTATCTCAGCTAAGAAAATATGGGGGAAACAACTAAAAGCATGGGTGTTATAAATTATACTCTATTTTAGCGGCTAGCACATGCACCATTTAAACTCAAGAGGACCAATGTTAAACTGTGCTCGAACTTAGAAATGTTAAAAGACTTGGACTTCTGATTTTTTTTAATAACACAAGGAAGATTTAACTTACTATAATTATTATTACAATTAATTGGTGCTTTCTTTGAATTTTATTATCTGAAGAGAAACTAATAGGTATGGCAAATGGAAGATTTTCCACTGGCAATTTTTCTTGTGAGTCACAACAGATTTCTCCATAAGATTGCTCCAGAAAAATACACTCACACACCCCAGTACACTGGTTTAGTAACAAGTTTGTGAAGTGGAAGGGGGCTGTAGGAATAGAGGCTCAACACTTTTCTGAGGCTTGGTCCCTCTTTTTTGTGTGTGTAGAATGGGACAAACACTGCTCAGCGGGTTCCCCTTTAATGGCCTAGATGCTGAGAAAGATCAGATAGAGTTTTGGGATGGGGGAAATTCCCAGTTCTCTCTGTGTGGACCCATCTGTGTACACTGCTTCCATATTGCTGTGCCAAATTTTTTGTTTGTATTTGGGCCTATGCATAAGAATGCAGTTAGAGAAAACTATTTTAGAGGATCCAATAAAGATCTTTAATACATTAAATCTTTCTCTTTTTTCCCCTTCCTAATTCTACATGAGAACTGACTGAGGGCTGCCACACTTTTCTTTTTTTTCTTTTGGTTAAACAATGTAACTCTACTGAGCAGATAGTGTGTTCTTGTGATTTCCCTTTCTCTAGTCACAAGTTTATAATATGCATTTGATTCCAAAGTAAGCCATTACTATTTGTGAAGAAATGTATGGGTGTATTTTGATACTGTTGAATTCTGAGTTTATTACTCTCCTGTTGTATAGTACATACAGCATGTTTGTAATCTCTGTTATTTATGAGGATGTCTCTATAATTTTTTTCCAAACTTTCAAAGGGATTAAAAAAATAATTGGTGGTTTTGAGTGCCAAGGATTTCCACTTATCTTTACACATAAATTTTAGTTAGTAAACAGAATTCCCTTAACTGATAGCTGATATGATCAGTATTTTGTTTCCAAAACATTCTGCTAAATGATTCCATAATAAATTAGAAGAGAAGGTATTGTTTTGTTTCTCCCGTGCTTTGTACAAACACCCACAGTCACCGGAACCAGGTAAATCACTAATCTAAAAGACAAAATTATATTTCCTTTTTCCCCAGTGGGTGCAAGGTCCTAATTGTAAATAATTGAATTTCAACACCTGCAAATAAGCGGTATGTGCGCAAGAGCCATAATGTGAACACAGAGAAATGAATTCATTCCCCATATGGGTATGTTTGCCCCCTGGCAATGCATTTCCATACTCTTTAACTTGGGGACTGAAATTTTATAAATTGACAGTTCCACTCAGAAGACCTTTCAAGCATCTTGTGTTTATGAGAATACGAAGGCTTCTGCAGAATGAATTCGAACACATGGATGAATTAAATTTGAAAACACACACAGACAGAAAGGCCGGCAGATCTTAGGCTGTGGTTGTTGCCTGGATTATACACAACTGTTAACCTATGCTTTTGGTTTTGCTGTATTCATTGTCCTGAAGAGGATTACTGGTTTAAGAATTTCACTTTTGATTAAACTACTTAAAAAAAAAAATCCAACCTTGTCTTAAATAGGCATATTTTAGGTTACTTCTGTGGTTAAATTCTTATTCTCCACTGCTAATGAATATTATTTCTTTTGCTATGGTGAAGACTTTGTATATGAAGTCATAAAAACAATTGAAGCATGCCACACGGAGATGCCTGACATATAGTTTCGGCTAAATGGTCAGATAGCTCCCCTACCTTATAAGTGGTTTGATCTTCAGAGTCCATCTAATCCCTCCTTCTTGTTTTTCCTTGCAGAAAACATGCTTTAAACTGCCACAGAATGAAGCCTGCCTTATTTAATGTGTTGTGTGAAATCAAAGAAAAAACAGGTAGGAAATGAGTAGCCAACCTTTTGGCATTTTCTTTGGCCAATTGAATCACTTCACTGAGCAAATCTGAATCTCGTATTAAATATTAAAATTTACGAATAAAAGGACAATCAAGACTGACCACATAATAGTAGAGAAAATTATAGTCCTGCTTGCTTTCTTCTTTTTTTCTTTTTCGAAAAATTTATTAAAATAGGTATCAATTTTCTTTGGCAGTTATTTTCAGATATTGCATATTGATTTTTCTTAACTTGATTCTTTTTTTTGAAATTGGTGCTAAAACATAGGTTCTGGAGGGAAAAATATAGAATGGTATGGCTTTGGAGAAGGCTAGGAAAGTAAAAGTCAGTGTCTGAATGAATATATTGTGGCTCATAATTAAAATCTTTTTTATTTTCTGCAAATGGGTGAAAGGTTAAACTGTTTTTAGTTTTCTATTATTTTTCCTTGTAATCATGTAAAACAACAAACGAGGTTCTCAAAAGATTGTGTTGTCAATATATTTGTAGAAAGCACCATATACACCATTAGGTTATAGCATTTGAATGGCCTGTGATTTTATAGCAGGATGTAGGAGAGAGAATCTGCCTGAGATCGCTCCTCTGTTGTTTTCCTACTTTCTAGACCTCAAATCATGGACTAACATACTTATAACACATCCCAGGAGGGCATTTAAATTTTAAAGCAACAATTAAAAAATAGCAGTCATCAATCAGAGGTGTTCTTAAACAACAGATGCTCTGGGAAGGACATTAGCAACATCCCCTTGTTTGTTTATTTTAATCCTTAATTTTTCCAAAGTGGGAAAATTTCTCCTCTTGTAAGAAGAAAGAGTTGAGAAGGCAATGTGAAATCAGTGTGTAAAGGAGTGGACCAGAAGGCCCTTATAGAAAGTCGGAGCTTCTGCTGTTTTCTGATGTCCTCATCCTCGCTTGCTTTTGAAAGCAGTGCGAAGTACCTGACAACCAATTTATTTATTTATTTCTTACAACAAGGAGTGTAACAGTCAATAATTCATATCTAAAGCATATAAGCAAGGGCATGACATGAATGAAAGTGACAATAAATATGATTGCATGCCCGGTTGATATACATTGATAGTTACACATAAAAAAAGGGGGGGGGATATGTAGGTGGCTTTCTTTTTTAGAGTTCACTGTGCTTTTTTTTTTCTTTTCTCTTCTTTTTAAATATGTAGTTCCAAGACGTGACTGTGGATCATATAGGTCATTACTTGGGTCTTCAGATATATTAAAAAAATGAGGAAGCAGCTCGTTTGTTGCATGTTATCTGTGTTGTGCATAAAATCCTAGACAAAGCATCTAAGAAATGATGCTCAGAGACTTGGGTCTGCCAGGTTGCTTTGCCAAAGTCTAACCTTACTAGAAAGCTGTTAACTGCATTATTTTAGCCCCGAGACAACCTTTTAAGAGATTTATAGATTGTGCATACAAATCTCAAAACAACTCCCTCACCCCCCAGTTTATCATACTTTCTAGGGTTTTCATTTCCTATTAGCTCTGAAAAGGAAACCTAAGTGTGTATAATGTGTATATATATATTTTCCTTCTTTCTTTTTTTCTTCCTCCAGTTTTTTCTTCTTTGATGGTTGATGCTTATTGACTTTGGATCTTGGGTTTGTTGAAAATTTGTTTCTAATCACATATGAGTTCCTGTTGACCGAGGTTCATAAAATGTCAAATCAGAAATATAAAGGAATATGTAAAGATATGGGCTAAGAAGAGTTTATCTCTGAAGGCAGTTTATCAGATTTTTATTGAACGGAATCCTGTCGGGGCACCATGTATTGTAGACAAAGTGTTTAAGTCTAGTTTCTTAATTTAAAACCTAGTGAGGCTCTAGATCAAAGTGGGTGAGTGTGAATAGAGCTCTGTTCAGGTGCAGGTTAAAAAGTTGGGTTCTTGTTAATCTTAGCTAAATAAAGTGTGGTGATAGGAAGTAATCATAGTGGTCAAAATAGCCTTATCATTAGACTATATATTTTGCTTCAAAAAGAAAATATGTCAACTCATTTAATGTTGTAAAAAATATGTCAGTTAAAGTTTTGTATGTTGTTTCTTGAATAATGTATTTTCAAAAACAGTTTATGAAATAATGTAAATGTAATACATAGGGATCATTATCCTCTGTGTTAAGGAGCAAATACTCACAGACATGCTGGACTTTAGGCTTGAGAGGAAGAAGGACACTCTGAGTCAAAGTGGAGAAAAACAAACAAATAAAACAGACTACCTCCTTTTTAATCTTCACCTTGAGTGTTGGTTGGAAGGACTGAGGGAAGGAAGAAATCTCTCTTCTCCTGGAATGCCAGTGTTTTGTTAAAGGTAGGAGTCAGCTGTGGTGTGTCGAAAAGCACCCTTTGATTTCAGGGCTGTTCAGGGTCTGCTGAATGAGTCCTCATGCTGTCTGTCAGCATTTCTGCCATTCAGTTGATAAGTCTGAGAAATGTAAAATATCCATAAAGTTACACAAGCTTTTTGTTTTTCCTGTGAAAAGATCGTGGAATGATCAGTTCACGTGCATTTCTGCCATGGTTGGGGACTTTTCGTATTGTTACTTTCAGGTCTGTTGGCATGTTATTATGATGAGTGTTTCTGAGTTTCTACCTCCAGCAGGACAGAGGTTATTTGATTTAGTGTGGACTTCTGTTTGTGGAGATTTAAGTGATAGTCATACCTTTGGCTTAACTAGGCAGAGCTCTTTAGAGGAGTTTGGGAATTGCATTCATTCCCTGCTTTTACGTTTTGTTTTTGGTAATGACTTTAGTTTGAAGAGTGTGAAATAAATAGGAAGTCTAACTAAGATGTCACAGCAACCTTTTGGAACTGAAAAAAGAAAACATGCTTAATACTTAAGTAGGCAGCATCGTCTGAATTATAGCTGATGGGTAGACATTTAAGTCAGAAATTAACTTTCTTTTAAAAGAAGATCCCATGTGTCTTCTTGCGTCAGCGTGTAGGTAAAGTTTTATTTTGATAGTTTGTGCTTTTTAAAAAAATGCTAAAATAAAAGAATGCCAGCAAAATGCTCGGATAGCAAATTCCAGACAGCATCGAGAAAACCTTGTCAAGATCTACAACTATTCACATTTCAGATACGGTTTTTATCTGCTTATTCACTTTTCGATATTGGGACTTCTTGTAGAGTTTTGGATCATTTAATATCACATTTTTTAAAAAGCTAGTTCTTGTTACCGACACTGTTGAAATAGGCTGAGTTTTGCATGTGTGTGTTTGTGCTGGTAATTGGTTTGTGATATAGAAGGAGGAAAAAAAGTCAAACATATTGAATTTCTGAAAAAGACCCAGAATATATTTTTAAACATTTTTTGATTTTTTTAAAGCTTCTATATCAAAAAGTATGCAGGTTGAAGAATTGGAAGAAATAGAAAAAATTAGAGTTATTTATAAAGAATAGTTTCAGATAGCAATGAATATAGTTACAATTGTTGTGAATAGTTTTTAATTTTAGACTATAATAGCTATGTATGGCAGTTTTCAGCCAATGTTCTTTTATGAATTATGTGCACTGAAGTTAAATGAAATAATTGGAGGAGGTTACAAAATTATACTTTGCTCCCATAACACTCTTTTGTTTTCTCTCTATTAACAACCCCCTCATGGTTGTTTGTTTCTAAGTGTTCCAATGTATTTCTTTTTCTTTTTTTTTTTGACATCTTCTTTTTAAAAAATTCTTGTCTATTGCTTTTGAACTTCAACAACTACATTATGGGACATCTTCTCTCTTTCACTTTAACAATCTATGTGTGTATATATGTACGTGTGTGTGTGTGCCTGTGTTGTATGTATACAGGAAGTTTTATATTGCAGATAAATGGTCCAGATGGCTGTATTTCTTGAGCAGAGAGGGTAAAATAACTTCAGACAGTTTAGAGCAGTCAGCCTGTAGTCAGGTCATTTTGGAATTGAAGCAAGAGTGACTTTTTGTAGAAGTGCATGTATACCAGACAGATGCAAACTCTGTTTCTTGGTAGTAAAACAGTTTCGCAAATGTGTTCCTTTTGCTTGGGGGTGGAGGTGGTCAGAAGCACTAACGAGAAAAAGGAGGATCGAATGAGGGGAAGTTAGTTGCACGTCTGCTTGAACTGATCATTTTTCAGGTCCAGTCTGTTCAGGCTGGAGTGATGTGGTTAGGCTGTATTATTTATGGTAATGTGAATATAAGCTGTCAACCTGCAGTACAACGTGGAGAGGCCTGATCAGAGGTGAATTTGCCATGGGAAATGGCTTTTCTCTCCAGGCACATTGGTGTTTTCCAATTGTTAGCAATGAGTTTAGGAACATTCTGGCCTTGGAGAAGTGGGAAAAGGATGCAGATAGATCAGTTTGGACATAGTTTCCAGGAAGAAATTTTTGGAAATTTGATGTCATTTGTGCTAACAATAGGAGTGTGTGTGATGATTAGACAGGAGTGAGATTTAGGTTTCATTGAGGAATCTAGAAGGGGCTTTGTAAGATGGGAATGTGAGCCCTAGAGCTGGGGGAGCAGGCTGAAGGTGTTGTGTCCAGCTGGGCCACAGGATGCTTGCTCTGAGCTTGTGCTTTGGGCAACGGACACTGCTGGGTATCTAGTGCTAGAGCCAGGCTTTGCTTCTGTGTTTGACTGATATCTGTAAACTTGGTATTGTTGTTGGCAAAACTTCAAAAATACTACCACACAAGCAAATGACCCCAAACCTGATCTTGAACATATGTAAACAGGAAGGCATTTTAATTGATAATCTGAGATGTAGTTTATTTGCATGCCTTTAGGAAAGCTATAGTCCTTCATTGCTTTTCCTTTTTTCTTTCTTTTCTTTTTTTGTGCTGGTCCTAGGGCTTGAACTCCAGGCTTGGGCATTGTTCCTGAGCTTCTTTTGTTCAAGGTCCTGTCACTTGAGTCACTGCTCTACTTCTGGCTTTTTTGGTGATTAATTAGAGATAAGAGCTTCACCGACTTTCCTTCCCTGGGCTGGCTTT